GTGACACGGACACGGCCTCGGACACCAATAGGACGAACGGCCGCATCACGCGATTAATGATGACCGCGTTTCTCAGGCTCCGCCTCCCCATCAGTCACCGACCACTAGCCACCGACCAACCTCGGCGATGGCTGCGACTTTAGTTTCAACGACGAGCCTCTACCCTCGATTCAGACCTCACACCAAAGCGAATCGAACTGGTACCGAATTCGGCTCGCCTCTTCGTCGGTCGGTCTGACGATCCGCTACGGGACGAGCAGATGACGTGGTCATCGCGAAGATAATTACCTAGTATCGGTGTAACTGGATGGACATCGTCGGGGGACGCGCGCCAGATGACTGTTCTTGCCGGTCGGCGCCCACGACTTTCTTTCATGGCGCCAGTCAGCATACCGGCCGCCGACCGACCGGCACCTCGCTCAAAGGCCAAGCACGTAACACGTATAATGGTCCAGGACGATGGCCACCAGCCGGCCATTCGATGGCCATTAACCGTAATTGCTTCCATAAAGCGATCCGACTCAGAGGCTCGTTCCCGGAACTTGCTCCCATGAGGCAACTCGTACCTCCGTCGGTCCAGCTGCTCCCTCGACGACGAATGCGAGCGAACAACGGCGACTTGCTCGCCAGCCACTCTGTGACTGGTCTGTCTTTCTTTCTCTCTCTGGTTCGTTGGCACCTTATTCCTGACCGTGGTACGATGGTGAATGAAAGTAGCTCACAGTTGTCATTAGACCAATTCACAAACCACGGGCCTTTTCATCCGCAGAAAAAACGCAACGTTCATGCGTAAACCATCCGGATATATGAGATCCTGATGATGCTGTCACTTTCTCTCGGTCAAGCTTAAGCTAATCCATTCCTTGGATCAGTGCTGTCAAGTCGATATCGCGAAAGCCGATGTTATCGGCGAGCAAAAAGCGGTTGGTAATCAGCGGCTATTTATCTCACTGTCCGTTCTTCTTCAGCGTCTCACCGTTGCCTCAACACTGTTACCTAAACTTAGAACTGAGTAAGCCGATTTGCAACACCCATAAAGGTTACAGGTGTAAACCTTATTGAAATTCAGTCATGTTAACATTCTTGAAGGAGCCTAGAAAGAATTGTAATTTTCCAATTGTTCAAATGTTTCCTAGACATTTCTCGTCACTCCATTTTTTGGATGCCGCGTGAAAGTGTTGTGAGGCATTGGAGAAAGTCAACCAATTTAAGGATAGCTGGCTCCATCATCTCCTACCTTTGGCTGGTACCATCCAATTAGAGTTGAACAGTCAACCTACCGTCGCCTCCAGTGCCTTTCGTAAAAATGAATGCCTCTTGCACAAAAACCGCTTGCACCCTTGCCTCTGCCAAGTCAGTGTTGTTGTACGACAAGAGCACAGTTTGACCGCGTACTGCAACGTTATACAGTGCCTATGAAGTGGAAGCGCAGACACAGCAGACAAACAGGGTAAAGGCAGACCTGTTTTAGGAGTGGAACTGTTC